ACCCCAGGCCATTCTATTTTAAGGTCCTCTCGAGTTCTTCCATTTGTTTGGAGAAGGAACAGGAGCAGCCCTGCAGTTGTGCTTTACCTTCAATCAAATGGACTGTGCTCAAAACTTCTTCCCAGCACTGCTCAGCTCAACCTTCCCTTGTCCAGAACCTCCCATCACATCACCCATCCCCTGCCTGGCACCAAGGGAAGAACTCCTCAGTGATGTTCGAGGGGAGCAGGGAGGATAAAAAATGAGAAGATGGCAGATTAGATCTCGAGTGACAGAAATGAGAAATAAAAGCCATTAGAGCCCATTTGCAACGTGGCCTCATCGAGTCAAGTTTCAAGGTGCTTTTCCAGATAATTAATAGCCTGACAGCAGTTTTTGTACAGGCATCTGATACATGAAATAACACTCGTGTATACAGAGGGGAAAGTGGAGTCCTCTCATTTATTTACTTGAAGAGGTTTGAAATGCAGCAAGCCAGCCAGCTGGGTTACAGACAAAATAAACATTCTCTGTTATAATTGTGGCATCCTCAGACACATGTCTCTATAATAATGCAGCACTATGAAAGGAGCTCTCATAAGACTCTGTTTGCTGTAGGCACAGTCTGAGCTGTGTTTGGAGAGGCCCTGCCCAAGCCTTAGTGTTCTTTGGTGTGGAGTGCATTGCACTGAGGCACTTCAGTCCTGAGGAGATCTGTCTCGTCTCAGTCCTGCTCATCTGAACTCTCTCAGTGTGATATCCGGGTGAAAGGGAGGCCACAAAGAGAGGGAGAGAATGAGATTTGGGTGTGTGGGAAAGAAAAGATGAAGAATTCCCAAAGTTCTCCATCAGAGCCGCACGCCTGTTAGGAAGAAGTGCCAGGTGGATGGCTTTGAACTTCACAGGGCTTTGTAGCACTGAGTTGTCAAATATGAGTAATTGCAGCTTTCTTCACTAGCAATGGGTGCCACAGACACTGACTGACAGAGCCCACAGTGCCCATGGGCCAAACAGACGTTGGGCTGAAAGAGAAAAGCACTTCAAACGTCATTAGATGCTGATGTCTGCTTGTCTGTGTCTGTTGCTTTCTATTAAGCTTCCAGTTTTTACTTCCTCATCTCACATTGCAAAGTAGTTCTGCTCATGAGAATCGCTGGGCAGAAATAACAGAGTCTTGATCTATGTTGCATAATAAGTTGTAGAGGTAATCAAGCCAATTTTCTTTCTGAAGCCAGAAAAGTAGAGGCCAACTTTGCACATTTCTGCTCCTTTCCAAACTGTCTGTAGCGTGCAGCCTTGGCAAAGTTGGCAAGAAAGAACTTTACAGGTTGGAGTAATTGCATTATTGGATCTCCTGCAACAAGGTGACACAGCCACCACCTGCATGGGTAGGTCTGGAGAGTGACACAGATAGATATCCTAGCTGAGATACCGAGGTGAAATTAAAACAGAGGTAGCGAAGCCTCTCTCCTGCTAGCCTTCCTTTGCTTTCATGGTCTCACAATTCATAATGTAACCATATTGCACTTTGTATGCTGGCAGCTTCTGGGTGCTCTTTGAGCTTCTGACTGCGAAAGACAGAAATGAACTTCAGACACTTGTTGGCTTTCTAGCAAAGCGGTATCCCTGCCAGGAGACAGATGAGACAGCCTGAAAATCCACTCCTGTATTAGGGTCGATTACCTCCAGTGGTTCCACATCACCTACCGTGCAATTGTGCGTGTGTAGTTCCTGCTTTGGTTTTGGTAAACCTTGTGGGTGCACAAGTGTTTCCAAAAGACAAGTCGTGTGTCATTGTTGAGGAAAGCAATGCTTTGGCAGAGAGCAAGGCTGAGGACAGCAGTTGCCTGCTAGCTCTTCCTTTCACACCATTACAAGTGCTGCATAACTCCTAGGAAGTGCTGAGACGCATTCGTAACTCCTCGCTCAGCACTTCTTGACTTCTCAGACTTCACACGTAGACTGTGAGCTGCCTGGGGAGCCAACAGGTTCTATAGCATCGTACCTTCTTGATCCAAACACCAAAAAGAAGCAAAGAATGAACATCACCTCCAATGGGCAGATCTGCAGCTTTTAAAGTATTTTGCTGTCCTTCAGGAAGAAAAGTGCCCACGCAACAGTGAGGCATGATTATAGTTCCTTTATTGCTTTGTATGTGCATAATTTACTGACTTCTATGTAAACCCCTGGTGGAATGCCTCTTTGATGTCGTCTGCCTTGCTTAAGTAGTGGTTGCTGTTTGCTTCTTTCCTACCCAACTGGTTGCAATGCTGCCCATGGCAATTTCGGTGGCTGAATTCCTTCCTCCAGTAAAATCTTAACTAGTTGAACTGAACCTTGAAACAGTTCCACATCTCCCTCAGTAATTATCTAGAGGGAAATCCAGCTTAATATAAACAGAGAATAGCAGAATGGTGCTATATACACGGTTCAATTTCCCTTCAGGTAAACCACTAATGGCACATATAACTCTCATAATTAAAAGCTGCATCTGATAGAACAAAGTTGCCTGTGCAAGCAAAGGAGGAGGGAGATGAAAGCACCACTGGTGCAGAGCAGCAGTCTGACGATGGGCCCATGCATGTCTCTTTTCCCTGCTCTGAGAATCAGCCAGAGCCTGAAACCTCTTCTGACAAGCAGCTCCTCTGATGACAGATGCTGCCTGCAGCCTCCCCAGGCTGCAAACAGACGCATTGTTCTTGCTGTCAGCTCCCCATTGAAAGGTGATTCCAGCAAGCAACAATTGGCATGATTTGTTAGCATTAGTCAGCAAGTGCATGGATCAGATTTGCTCCCAAGGAAAAGGAAAAGCAGGTCTGAGACTGAGAAATCAGAGCTCGTAATCAACAGCTTGTCAGGGAGCAGGTCTTGCTCTTTGGGGTGTGAATAGGGATGTTTAGCTAGCCTCACTTCAACTCCTTCAGACTTCAGAAGGCGGCCCATTTCTGTTGGAGCGATATGGATGAATTGACCACGTCCTTCTTTGGGATCCTCACCTCATGAGGTGAATTTACATGATAAAAAAATATCCCCAAAATATTTCCTGTGAAATATCTCTGCATTGATACCTTGAAGGAAAGAAATGTCAGCTCTATACTTCTGTGAGGGCACCAGCTCTGTAAGAAACTTGTGGGGAAGCACTGAAGACCATTTTGCTCTTTATAGCCATAGTGTGACCTCAATACCATGTGCATTTCTGGCCCTATTTCTGGTCTCCCTGCTCTGTTAGGTGTACCGTAAAGTAGCTCTGAGTGTTGCTTTGTTATCTGCTCAGTTACAGCTGGAACACAAGGATTGACACTGCTTCCTGAACAGCAGTCAGCAGTGGGAATAAATGCTGCTCTCATTTTCTAACCAAGTTGTGCTACAACTCTGGGTACAACCAGCTGAGGTCGGTCTGATACAGCAGTGTTCAGCTTACTTGTTTGATTGGAACCACTTGGGTATAGAATCATTGAATCATAGAATGGTTTGGGTTGGAAGGGACCTTTAAGATCATCTATTTCCAAACCCCCTGCTATAGGTAGGGATACCTCCCTCTAGACCAAACTGGGTATCTTCTGGTTCTTCCCTCCCCAAACCGCAGCTGCAGGCCCTACAAAATGACAGCTTCTCCCCATGCTGGGCCCTGGGTAGGCAGAAACCTCACAACGAGGTGCTAATTCTACATTCAAGCATGTCTGTACTTTGCTTTTTCCAGAACATCTGAATTGCTCGCAGTGCAAAAGTGTGGAGCAGAGATGAGCCAGAGATGAAGCAAATGATTAACACCAAGCACGCAGCCTGGAGCTGCAATTACACCTGATTCTTCTTTCATTTTTTTTAAGTACATCTTGGCACATTTTCCCCACCCTTCCCTCTCCCCCAGCACAGCTAGAGGTAGTCCATTAGCGTGAATGATGCGTGTCACTGCATGCTGATCTAGGACAGAGCTCTGGTTGCTTTTCAGAGCCAGTGCCTGGGAGCACAATTATACACCAACCGAGATCCTCGGCGGTGATTTAAAACAGAACTTGATTTTAAAGGTGCATCTTAAAAGCACCTGGTTTTCTAAAAATGTAAAAGCGACTCAGTTCTCACTATCTGCAGATAAGAAGCTCTCAGATTAGGTGCCTAAAAATAGAGGCATCCTATAGTATTAGTCACTGCTGGAAATGCTGTTCACGCAGCTCCGCTTCCTTTCAGCCTGCAGTCTGTGCTCACTGCTCACTGCACGATGCCCAAGATGGGAAATCCGGGCCTCCAAGATCCCAGCAGGTTGAGTTCACATGACTCCTTCCGTGTGAACTTTGCTCACATGCTGTACCACGGAGCTGTGCTCCCCAGCCCTGCGCTCTGAGCGCAGCTGCTCATCCCATGCTGCTTTTGGTCTGCATGGCACACGGACCCGGGCTCTGTCCCACTCTTGGCAGGATGCTGCATTCCCAATTGTGCCTCCGTCCACCCCTCAGCAGTCCCAGTTAAGTCCTCATCTCCTCGGATCGCCCCTCATTGCCATCTCTGGTCCTGATCATTTCCCTCACCCATCTCTGCTTTCCGTTTATAGTTGGCTCAGCAGATGTCAGCACCTTCTGATACATGACAAAGCTGCAAATATCAAGCCTCTTTTTTTTGCCTGGCATTTATTCCCACCACTAAACTCGACTCTCTATAACTTGCAATGCCCACTGGTTGTTACAGGGGAGAGGATTTTATTCACCTGTGATAAAAACCTCAGAAATACCGAGCTGGGGAAAGTTACAGCTGCTCAGAACCTTTCAGCATTTGCACTTTCTCCTTTCTATTAACGAGCTATTCAACAAGTTAAGCCTGAGCAACTGCTCCTGACCCCGTGGCCAAAGTGTCATCTGTGACCGTGCTCTGTCATTTGCAAAATGGAATGGCTCTGACTGCTTGAGCACACCGCTCTGCGGTGACATTTCCAGGACATCCGCACTCCAAAGGCACGCAGTAGCCTTGGATTAGAGTTTAAAATAGAAACGTGTTTGCCTTTGTGTATGGCATGGGATTGCTAGGGAGAAATAGCAGTGAGTGCACGCAGCTGGATTGCACGACCTGCAGGAGCTGCTGGGACTCGGTCTGCTTGTCACGTTACAGCCATTCTCCGGGCGATTTATTCAGCTGAGTCAGGAAAAGCCGCTGCCTGCTGCTTCTGAGAAACTCTCTGCACCTCAGGAGAGACAGCGCTAATTAACACAGGTCTAAATTAGAGCAGAACTAAGGCTAGTGCTTGGAAAACGTGGGGTGAGCATAAAACCAGGAGGGCTGTGTGCAACCCGCTGAGCTGCCTACAGGTGCCTGAGCTTCAGGCTGTGCTTGGAGCTGGTGGCAGTGCTGCTCCGTGTCGTGCAGGCTCAGTGCGAGCTGCAAAGGCCCTTGCTGCCCTTCTCTGCAATGCTAAGTGAAACTGGTCTCAGTCAGTCTTGGTCTCCGAACGGTAAGCCTGTTAACTTTGTTTTCCTAACAAACAACAGCTGAGATTCTTTTGTTTGTTTGTTTTAGGTATAGTAGTTTCCAAACACTGGCAGCAAGCTGCTGTTTGTCTGCTTGCTGGTAAATGGTAGCTGCTGACTTCCTCCTAACCCCGCTGAACGCTCACCCGAGCTGGGTGGTGAGCAGAGCTCATCCCCCCCGGAACCTCACGAGGGCAGTCACAAGGGATGGGAGCACCATAGGCTCTTCCATGTGCTCCCATCCCCTCTCTGCCCTCCCTTCACCCTCTCCTGCACCTCACTGTCCCCTGTGCAGCCCTGTGCCCTCTCCTGCTGTGCAGTGGCAGCTTTCAGCTGTGTTGTAGGGAGCATCCAACTGATTTATTGCTCTCAGCATCTCTTAGTTTGTAATAAAGTTTTCAGCAGCTCTGCTGAGGTTGCTCCCCACCCCCACGCACGCACACATCCCTGCGCTCGCTTTGTTCTTCTCACACATAATGTCAACTCATAAACCTTTCATCAAGTCAACCAGGTGGAAAAAACCCATTACTGAAAGAAGTGTTCATTCAGGTTTGGGGGGGGGTGGAAATGGAGGAGAAAGTTCCCCAATGGAAAAAAAAAAAAGAAAAGAAAAAAAAAAAGGAAGAAAAGCTGTGTGTGCTCTGAGCTGAGCGCTGGCTCTGTGGCACACCCAGGTGCCAGGCCCCAGCAGATCTGTCATCCCAGTGACAGGAGGTGGAAGAGCTGCACACACATCCAAAGAGGCAGTGGCTTGAGCCTGATCCCCACTGATGAAAGGAAACATCAGCACTGCTGCTCTCTGCCAGCACCAACGAAACCACACGGGTTGTTGAGCAGCAGGAGGACCCCAGCAGATGGGTTGAAGCCATGTTGGCTGAGGATTGAGTGCTGATTGGTGCTGCTCATGCTGCCCAGCACGGGGCTGGCATAGTCAGTAGGAACGAGCTGTGCAGAGGGAGCCAGCAGTGTGCCCTGGTGGCTGAGGAGATGCTCTGCTTGACCAATGGTTGGCCAACAGTTGACCATGAGCCAGCAGTGCACCCTCGTGGCCAAGGAGGCCAATGGGACCCCAGGGTGCATTGAACAGGGTGCCAGCAGGGCAGGGAGGTGCTGCTCCCCTTTGCTCTGCCCCAGGAAGGTCACTATGCCCAGTTCCAGGCAGACTGAACTGCTGGAGAGAGGCCAGCACAAGGCTGCAAAGAAAGTGGGAGACTGGAACACCTTCTGATGGGGATGGGCTGAGAGCCCCAGGGCTGTTCACCTGGAAAACAGAGAGGGGATCTGAGCAATGCTTATCAGTATCTGAAGGCTAGGAGACAAATGGATGGGCCAGGCTCTGTCCAGTGGTGCCCAGCACCAGGACGAGGGCTGCCAGGCACAGGCTGGAGCCCAGGGGATTCCATCTGCACATTAGGGGGAAATTCTTTACCTTGAGGGTGCCAGAGTGCTGGGACAACCTGCACAGAGAGTTGGTGCAGTCTGGTTCTCTGGAGAGATTCAAGATCCACCTGAATGCTTTCCTGCATTGGAGGGTTCAGTGGGGAGCTCCAGAGGCTTCTTCCATCCCCTATGGATCTGTGTGGTGCTGAGGAGGTGTGTGAAGGGCAGGGATGGAGCATCTGAGGCTTCGATCTGGGGGAAAAGGAAAAAAGAAAAAAAAAACAGCAGTAAAATTTGACAAATTTTGAATGGAATTTCAATAAAAAAGGGTGGATAGGTGGAGTTCACACCAGCATCTTTGTGGTTTTGGGAACACGCTTTGGGGTTTGATGGATTGCTTTTTGCGCAGGGACATGGAGAATGTACTGCACAAAATTTAATTGAAATAGTTTTCCAGAGCTGCTGGAATGGAATGGATGACAGAGCTGCTGCTCTGGAGAAGGGAAACGAAGGCTCTGAGATGGAGAAAGGATGGAAGACAACAAAGGAGCACAGGCAGTGACATCTGTCACTGGTATTTGATAAGTTAAAAATTCAGCATAATCTCCTGCCACCCTGTCCGCCGTGCTGAGTTCCAACAGTAACAGAATTGTCGTGATTTCTACATGAATTAATTCAAATCTCTTTTTGCATGATATGGTGTAAGAAAGGGGCCATCTGGTTTATGTTCTAGGTGTCAGAACCACTCATACCAGCACACTCTCTTAGTGCAAGATGTATGTTGACTGCACATATTAATGTCTCCTTACCCTCTGCCTCCCTGAGACCTGATGCTGTTGTCCCATTATGGTGCTGCCATTTATACTGTCAATAGCAATAATAGGAATAATGCAATACTGGCATGCACACGGAACCTCCAATTACAGATGTGGCTGAGCTACATTTGTATTGCTTTCTTCACACGTGGGAAGCTTAGGGATGTTAAGTGGGAACACGCTGTGATAAGGCTAGGAGTGGACCAGTGCACCATAGAAGGTTGTCCAGAGGGAAAGAATGGGATCAAGAAAATGGGTCTGGCTTTCTGGGCTGTTAGTGGTGCTTTGGGTATCAGTTTTTATAGTGACTTTCTGTTGCTGTGTGCTTGAATGTGCCACATCTGAACAGGATCAGCTCACTGGTAGCAGCCAATGAGCCACTGCCCCTATCCCTGCACTGCAGAATGGGGCTCAGAGCAGTGGGTGAAGGAGTCCTGCTGCAGAAAAACTCATCTACTGCAGATTAGCTCTATTTATACTGCGAAGGCTCTGGCTTAAGTGAGGAGCTTTTTTCCTTAGAAATATTGTCTTAGCATGAATTTATCTCAAAATGAACTTTGTGGTAAATATAATTTAAGCATAAGCTTAAATTCAAGGTCTTATTTAAGTGCTTTTCTACTTTACTTGCCAGCGAAGGATCCGGCCTGGGCTTTGAACCTCTTCAGGGAGAAGAAACAGATTAATGAGATTAGAACGTTTTAAATCACTTCTGTACTTTTCTGGGCCGCATGATCTTTATAATGCCACATCTCTATGGACTCCACGAAGTGCATTGGCTGGGTGCTGGTAGGCAGGGATGAGGGAAATGAGGCTTGCTTGTGCATCCATTCAGATTTGGGGAACGTATTCAATGGCCTGTGGGTATGTTGAGTTTCATACGTCAGTGTGTGTTTAATTTCTCTGCCTGCTTTTTGAAAAGCACCATTTTAGAACTAAACTCTCAACCTTGTGGGCCTGATTTCCTCAGTGAGTTTTGTACAATCAGGCCAGTAACACGAGGAATGGGGTCGTGGCTGATGGTGAGATGGGCACAAAAGGTTCAGAGCACACAGGGCTCTGGGCTGGCACCTGTGGGACCTCCTGCCTACACCAGCATATGTGGGCACGCACACACAGCCCTGCAGCCCCGCAGACAAAAGGCAAATCCGTGCCTCTTTGAGTTTTGCTGTTGTTTTCTTCTGAGTTCCAAACGAAGTCATCCCTGCAGCAGTGCAGGAGTTGGAGCCACGAGCTCAGGTTTCCCCCAGTGTCACCGGGTGGTTTCCATTTAGCAGTGATGCAATGGAAAGTGACCCCAGTGAGAGCAGTGGGTGTAATGCAGGTTGTTGGCCCGCGGGGTGCAGGGCTTTGTCAAAGGGAAATGGAGCAATTGCAACAGACTGGAGTTTCCTGCAGCTAAAGTTTCCCAGCAGACAAAGTTAATCTGTTCCTCAAAGGCTTTGTGTGAAGGAGAGAAGCGAGAAGCACAAATCCTACGAAATATCGAAAGCCTCAGGATTTTGTCTGCCCTGAGATTTTCACCAAGGCAGGTTTCCCCAAGGGTTTAATTGCATGTTCATCTCTCGCAGCCTGTGCTGGCTCAGGCTTTGAAAAGCTACATGAGAAGGAGCAGGGGAGAAGTCCAGAGTGGTGTAAATGCTGCTGCTGGTCGCTCCTGGTCAATGTCAGACCATCCCTGTGAACCCATCTGCACAGTGGAGAGCTCAGAGTGTGGGGATGGGGATGGGGATGGGGATGGGGATGGGAAGGGGGGCGGGAGGGAGAGGGTGTGTATGGCTGTTTCCCACGTAGAAATTGAGAGTATAATTAAAAATAAATCACCGTAGCTTTTAGTTTGATGAAATTACCAATTATATTAACAGCAGCTTGAGCTGACTCTAAATCACTTCCTGCAGAACGTCGCTTTGGGATTTAAAATGTTTGATCTGTTAAAGAATGTGTTGAGCTGCGTTTGGGAAAGAAAGGAGTAAAACATGGATCAGACAGGTGTGAATGCAGGAGGTTCTTAGATCCTCAGTGCCTGAAGTCTATGAGAACTGAAATATGCCATTCTAAAATGCATTTTAAAATAGCAAAGCTGCTCCCAAGCACTCCATCAGCCCCATTCGGGTGTGGGTCAAAGCCATGGCTTCTTATTTTATACCATTTTCTGATGCTGTGTTCTATGTTGCAGTTGTGGTAGCTTCAGAAATCACAATGTGAACTCGTGAATCTTGGAAGTCTGGGGTTTACACTGCTGCAGAAGGGCTATTTGTTGAATACAAGGCCTGATCTGGAAATGCATTTAAGACATGCATGACTTTGAGCATATAAATAGTTGCACAGAAGTCAATGGGACATAAATTTATGAATTTGCCTAAGTGCTTTGCTGGATCTCTGCCTGAGGAACCACTTACCACGAGTTTGAATAACAGAATGATGGCCTCATTAATGAGCAAAGCTCTGGACCAAGAGCATCAGCGAGATGTGAAGTCCAACTCCATGCCATATCTGTGCTACTCGCCTTGACTTCATCTACGTAAACTCATTCTGCTGCGCTGACATTTACATCCTTTGCCCTTTCCAAATTGTATTTATAAAATCCAAATTGATTTATAGGTTCCATTTCACACTCGTGAGGGCAGTGGGATTGTGCAAGATGTAGAGCAGCAGTCACAGCGATCTGGGATGGGTGCAAATCAGAGCAGGCAGTGCAGCACCACAGGGACACGGCTCAGTCTGTGCAGGAGATCTGTGTCTGCTGTGCCATCTGAGTGCTGTTCTCTGCACAGCGCCTCTAGGAGAAATCACAGCACCTGCTTGAAGCAGCTCTGTGAGCTGTTATGTTTATCAGCTCAGACAGTGCAGGTAGCAAGAAGAGCCCGGGTCAGGTCTTTGCTGAGCAGAGCGCTGTACAAAACACTACAAAAAATAGGGTCTGCCTTCGGAGCATTGCAATGTAGATAAAAACAGCAGCGTGGTGGTGGGACAGGGCTGGAAGGCCTTTTGCTACATTGGGGTTTCTTCTAAAACACGAGGTAGCAGCACGGCCTGGAAGACCGTGGAATAAACCACGAGGCAGAAGTCATTTGCTGAGCTGTTTCAGCAAATAAATCCATTTTAGGATTCTTGCACTTGGAACAGCATTGCTACAAGTTAAAATACTTGATGGTATGGTGCTGTGGCACGGTTAGTGGGCACGGTGGGGATAGGCTGATGGTTGGACTTGGTGATCTCAGAGGCCTTTTCCAATCTTAATTCCATGGTTGTTTGGCTGATCTGTTGTTGTGCACAAACCTTTATTCCAATCAAATAAGGAACGCTACCAAGACCGAAAGAAACTTTTGCAAGCCATCTCCAGGCTTCAACTGATAAAAGGCTTAGTTGAGCTTTGGGCAGTGAGAGCAGCTGCAGAGCACAGAGGGTGTGCAGGGATGGGGGCTCAGCCTATGGCGTGGCACAGCCCAGCTGCAGCAGCAGCAATGCACGGACATGCACAGAGACACAGCACAGACTGACCCTGCACCTCCACCTCCTAAGAACATCCAGTAAGCAAACATTTGGAAGGTTTAATTTATGGAGATCAGTGTGTCAGGCATATTTTGAGGAAACTTTGGGACTGTTTTCCAGAAGTGAGCCCCAGAATTCCTCCAGGATTCCTCCAGGCGCTTTGTTGTTTAAAGGACCTCCAGTCCTTCCCATTCTCACAGCATCCTCTGCTGTGGTTCACACACAACTGTGTTAACACGAGTCTGGAATATCTCAACACATAATTATTTATCCTTCAAAAAAAAAGCCAACAAAGAAAACCATGTCTGAATCTGACTAATATCCCTTCCCAGCCTGCCAAGTGGGGCCTTGTGTTTTCAGTATTGAAAACCAAGCCTGACTTGCTGCATATTTTGTGTTACTATGGTTTATGTCCAAATGCAAGGATTTAATTTTGTCCGTCATCAAGCCGTGGTTTCCATATGACACCAATACATTCCTTCTTCCTTCTGCTGTTCTGACAGACGACGGAATAGAATTAAGCACTGCCACTACTGTGCTTAAAACACAGGAGTTTGTGCTCCTTTGGCTTTGGAGATCAAGGGGCAGATCTTCGGTGGGTAGAAACTGTCTTCACCAGAGATAGGAACATTTACACCACTTACCCCAACTGAGGTGCAATCTTAGATGTATTTATTTATTTTGCAGTGCCGTTTGAAGATGCAGTAAGACTGAAAGTAAGATTGACTCTTGTCGTCTTCTCTGCAGAGCCCTTATGAAAGATGACTGTTGTGTTTCCATCTGGAGCAGCTGAGCAGCCTGACTTATGCCTCTGGAAGTCAGTAGAGAGAAAGCCCTGTGCACATTCACCCCTAACTGCATCCTGCCCTCCCAGTTTCAATGGAGCAGTACCAACCCTGCAAAAAGCCAACCCACAAACTCCAAACTGAGGCTGAGAGGAGGAAGATGAGCGGTTCCCTCAGAGCAGCTGATGCTGCAGGGGAGCTGCAGGAGTGATGCACGAATCTCACATTGAAATTTAAGTTTTGGATCTCAAAAGTAATAGGGTTCTTCCACTCTGCAAGGACGGCTCAGTGCCTGGGGTTGCTGTGATGTCATTCCTTTTGGGAACCTTTTTGGGTGAAGTCAGTGCAGGTGACCTCCACCTCCATCAGAACACCACTGGTGTGATCCTGGGCTGCTGGATTCTCAATGGCTCGTAGCAGTTTCCCTGTCTGTCCATCCACAGTGCTCCGTCAGTGTGCTGAGTTACTTCTGAGTGTTGTAATGCAGCTGAGCCGAATAATCCCTGCGGATAGGAAGAGGAGATGGATGCACTCTCCTCAGGAAGAAGAGTCCAAGAGGATGATAGCAACGATCCAGCTGGACCTGCAAGTCAACACCATTCCCGGATTTAGCCGAGAACTTTGGCAGTTTTTGAGTTGCTTGGGATTTTGCCCTGGATCCTCAGTGTCAGGAATGGCTGCTGCCCAGATTTGCAAGGTGTGGTACAGCCACTGCTGCTGATGCCAATAGTCAAGGAGAGGGGAATGAAACCTGCTGAGACTTGGGAATGAAACAAATCAGCATTAATTAAAAGCAAATGCTATCTGTTGACTAAGAGGTTCCAAAGCAGATGTTTGTCAAAATCGCCAGGAGATGGGTCATCTGAAAGCAGAGGTAATAAATAATGAGAACGATGTTTCTAGTCATTTCATGTTTTCTCAGGTCAAAACCAGGTGTCAGTCAGGGCTGGAAGTATCACAGAGTGAAACACATTGTGTTGTTCCACTGCAGGGAGCTCCATGCCGCCATCTCTGTGTTTGTGACCCATGTGCTCAAAGCACTGTGTGCCTACGGACCTGTGGCAGCATTACATGCACAGCTGGCAGCGTGCTGGGCAGGCCCTCACATCACTCCTGCTCCATCAAATGGCTCTCTGCAAGTTTATGCTCAGGTGGATGCATGTTGGAATGGCATTGGCACTTCTGTGGCTCTCCATCCCTCTCTGGCAGCAGCACAGAGGAATTCGGGCAGCTCGCTCTGTTCTGTCCTGGGATACATCAAAAGATGAAGAAACGTCCAGCTGTGATGCAAACCAGCTTTTCCAGGTAAGATTTCTGCTTCTAATTCAGCACTGTCAGCTAAACTTGGGATGCCTTATTCCTGTAATGTGCTTTTACAACTTAACTGTGGTCTTCAGACCAGGCAGCTCTGCACTGTGCAGCCTGCAGGTGAAGCAGCAGGTCCTGGGAGGCTCTTCCTACGGTCAGGGTTGCAGAAATATAAATATGTGTAGGGCCAAATTCACTGCTGACACAAGGACACATAATGCACGGTTTTCAGAAAGATATACCTGCTTGCTCTTGAAAAGAGCACGGCCTGCTTGTTTCCTCATGTACCACCATATATAATATCCTCATAGAAACATACTTTGACCAAGTTCTAGTATTTATGTACGGTGTGGTATATGCTGTATAAATATCCATGGGTTCAATTGCCAGCACATAAATCAGCGCAGTTAAACAAAGACACAGATTTACACTCCCTGCAATTCTGATGTTATAAATGGATCAGTGTGAGCCAGCTCCCAGCCTGGCACTTCACATGCAAATACCAGTCATGTCTACAGGCAGGAGATGGTAGGGATGGAAGTGTGGGCATCTAAATCTTCATACCAGGATTGCTGCATTCCACACTCAACTGGTCTGTGCGTGGGGGATGTAAAGGCAAAGTTATGAGGCTGGGCTAGCACTCAAACTTCATTTTCCAGATGAAGTGAAAAGCATTTTTTTTTTCCCCATAGCTTTAAATGAGCAAAACTGTATCAGATTTCAAGAATGCAGCCCTTTGTTTCAACCTCGGTTTGTTTACAAAGAGTGTGGTAAGGACACAGTAAGGAATTAAACCTGTGGGTACATTGTTTGCCTTGGGATTTATCTGTGGGGCTGTCTTCATGTTTCGATATGTGTTCTGCAGCTCTGAAGATATGCATGCTAGAGCAAAAAAAAGCCAATGTTTAGAATTAATTTGTCCAAGTACCCACTGTGCAAAGGTGCCCTGTGCACGTGTTTGGTTGTACATAGATGTGAGCATAGAATAACTTTTGCATGCACAACCACACACAAATTACACACAGACAACTAAGCGTATGCCCAGCACTCCCTCAATAATGCATCCCTCCAAGGAACGTCCAGCTTATTTGTGTGAGCAGACAGACCCCCAACCCAAGGAGGCACTAATATAGATGCACAGTGAAGCCCAGAATCTCAGCACCTGTAGGAGCAATCAGTTGTTGGAGCACTGCGTGTCCCCTCTCCCTGCTCCTCATCCCTCCCAGGCAGTGCTCTCCATCCCGGATCCTCTGATCTTTGCCCTCTTTCCCTTCAAATTAAATTTCAACTTTTGTTTTTTTTTTCTTCTGGATCTCTGGCAGAGTGACAAGGCAGTGCCAGAACTGTCTTTTAATACACAAAAGCATAAATAATGCCATCCATCAGAGCTGTCACTCACAAAGATAGATTGCTGCTTGTCCAGACGTTGGAATGACACAGAAGTGAAAGTTAGGAACCGTCTCTTTTCTTTGCTCTCTTTCTTTTTCTTCTTCTCTCTCTCTCTCTTCTCTTTTTTTTTTTTTATTTGCCGGACTGCTTGATTCTGATTAATGGTGCTGTCAGGGAGGGATTCCGCTTGCCCGGATAATGAGTCAGGAATGTATTCCCTGTCACAAACACAGCAGATGTCAGGGGCAGAAGGGCCCGGGAATGCCAGAAACAATATACAGTTTCTTCCTAGTCCCCTGACAGGCCAATATGCTGCACAAGGTCTAATTTATGTAGACAAAACGCAGGCAAGGGGCTGTAGCAGCAGAGAAACTGTGCTGGGAAGTCTGAACTACAATGCAGCAGGGGAGAGAGCTGAAGGGAGGTAATGAACGCTAGCAGTGGGACTCAATAGCACTGCATCAAATGGCCTTAACAAGAATGGCCCAGGACCACTTTGACTCCATTAAAGTGCACTTTACATCATTACAGAGAGAAATCAAACAGGGCAGAGGGCTTCTGTTTCCTTTAATGGCTCGATTAGGTTATTCACTCATCGAGGTTTGCAGCTGTCATAGTAATGCAGCAACTGCCAGCAGAGGTACAATAGCACTCGTGGCAGCACGGGGCCGTGTGCCCTCTCAAAGCAGAGTGCAGTGCCTCCCCATGTGCACACGATGACTGTGCAAAGGCAGAATGAGAGGACATTTGGCAGGCCTGGTAAAAGAGCTTCTGAGGGATTTGTCTTGAGATGCCTTTTGCTTTTTGGGGGTGGCCACATGGAAGCCCAGGAAAGGGTCCATGGCTTTGCCCAAAGCCTTTGGTGAGCTGGGGACCTGGAGGGGCATTCCCTGAGCTGGAAAGAAACCCATTGCTTTCCAGCTCTAAAATGCTGATATCATAAAACTAACTCACACATCGGGAAAATAAATTAGCCTTTTGAAGTGCATGCAACTGCACTGGTCTGCTGCACTCTTAGCTCAGCACTCTGGGGCAATGCAGGCTGCCAGTGCTTGGTCAGCACTCGGTGTAATGAGGTCCTGGTCCAGGAGGACCAACTGGTGTACCTCCATCCCATGAAGCTTTTCTGAGGTGCTGCCAGCCTTCCTGTGCTGAACGAGTGCTGAAAATATTCCTTACAGGAGGTGGAAGAGCTGCTCCCTGCTGTAATAAGAAGATAATACCACCACAGAGATCAATTCCTGTGCTGGGGTAAGTGTCCTCATCACCCTAAATCTGGTGCTAGACCATTTTACTGAAATCAATCCTAAAAAGAACACCTTAAGGCGTTCTCGTCTTTATCTCATCGTTGAGCATTTAGTCCTGGCTTTTATCATAGTGTTTGGTCAATCTGAACCAAATAGGATTCAATGGAGGCCCTGAGCTTTCCCCAGAGCTACCACGTCCCTATAGTACACACAGCCTGTGTAGGAGATCTGAAAGTGGTGCTGTTTTAGTGAAGCATGCTCACTCTGCACAGGAGCTGTACTGGCATTGGGTTGGCCGGGCCCACACTCTGAAGGCACGGTGACATTTTTAGTCAGATCAGTGTAAATCCAGCTACTGGGCTACATTTGATCCCATTTGCAGTGGCAGCAGTCCAGAGCATCTCTGCTGCAAACACCAGCCTGCATGTTCTTTTGGTTCAGTGGCATAGGCTGGCATAGTGGTGCCAGCATCAGTGGAGAGGTTGTCTGTAGGTCTGCCCCAGTGCTTCACTTTTGCCTTTACAGGGCTGTAAGTACAAGGATTTGGGGGCACTGGCTTGCATTGAAAAGTCGTTTCTCCCTAAAGCTCAACATGTTTTTTATTTAAAATAACTTTGTCTCCACTCAGAGTGCCCCTAATCGAAACCAGCACCTAACCATTAGCCTGAAAATGAAGGAAATAAAATTAAAGATTGCAATTGCTTTGGTTTTACAAGCTGGAGGCCTGGTGAGGCTTTCAGGAGAGGAGGGGAGAAGAAGGGCTCCTTTTTCTCAGTTTTGCTTGTATTACACTGATCAAAGCAGCATATTGTTAAGTAAGCACAAGTCTGGATTTGGAAATTTAGTGCATTAAAACAGCTGTGATTGACATCAGATTGCAGGAGGCAGTGCTGAAGGGAGTGCAGAGCACAGGGCTGGCATGTCTCGGGTGCTGCAGGGAGCTGCTGGGTGGGAAGGGGTACAGAAAGTGGGAAAAGGGGCTGCTTTGGTGCTGCAGGTCAGCGTGGAGCCAGGCAGGAATGTGGGAGGGCACTGCTGCACATTAAAAGTAAGTGTACTTAATGTGGCTTGCCTTAAAACAAAAGTTAGTTTACCAGTGTGGCCAGTGCAAGTATATATTCCCAGCACCCTTTGCTTTCATTTCTCTTTTGTACCCTTTGAGCGATTCCCCCTATCTTAAGTGAAACTGAAGCTCTGCTCTGCCTCCCTCTCCACATCTCCCTTTATAATTCAAAGAGGAGCTGAGTCTGAGCCCCTGCAGGACCCAGGCTGAACTCCTGGCACCTTTGGCACGCGGTGATCCCTGGGTTTGATGGACGTCCTATGGAAGCAGCTGTGACATGGACATCAATAACAATATGGGGAGTGCTCCATGGGCTGAGCTGTGGTATGTACTGCCAGTGGTGCTGAGAAGAATGAGCAGTGCTTAACTGCTTAAGCACAGCCTTGGCTACGTGATGCTGTTGGGAAGGGAGAAGCAGAGGTAGGATTGTTACAGCATTCATCTCTTCATGCCTTCCATTGGAATGAAGCTGTGCTCTCACTTGGACCAGAGTTCATAGCGATGCTACTTAAAGAGAGGCAGTGACACGGGCAATGCCACGGCTGTTTGCATCCGTGCAGAGTAGCTACATGAGGCAGAGGCCAGGAGAAAGAGAATGGGACTGTGATGGAGCCAGCAGGGATGCCAGGCTGTCCTCTGAGCCTGAATGGAGCACTTCTGGGAAAGGAAAGTGCAGCATTGGGAACAGAGAAGGTGCCTCCCAGGGCCCTCTGGCCCTTTTGCCCCACTGTGCATCAGCATTCAGAGCAGCAGCTGAATTTAAGTTGTTTAAGCTGTCACCTGCTGAACTCTGCAGAAGTTGCAGCCCAAAACATTTATGATTATCGGAGTCAGCAGAGCATTGTGTGTAACCTGAGTCCTGCTAGGACCAGGTCAAAACCTGGTCAGTGCTCAGGCATCTCTCTGGCATCCCATCCCCACAGCCCCACGAGAGGGGATTGGATTTCAAACGCACTGTGTGTCGTCTTTAAAAGACATAATACAAATAATTGGCACCCCAGGACCAGGCGTCTGCGTGGGGAAGGAGGGGAGCAGAGCTCATCTGATCAAAGATGCCCCAGCCGCCTCGCCGAGCCACGTCCCTCAGGAAGGAGCCTGGAAAGACCAATTTTCACAGATCTCAGCACCAGGAAATGGGCATTTCATCATGAGTTGAGTCATGGAGAGGAGGGCTCGGCCGAGCTGCTGCTGCTAAAGCAGAGACAAATGTAATTTATTACCCTGCGTCCTGCTGAGGCTTGGGGAACTCAGGAGGAACAAGCAATGCTAAGGAGCCCTGGCCCCCAAGGAGGCCTTTTGGAGAGTGACTAATCGAGATGGGGTGTTCTCATCCATCCGAGCATGCTCCATCCTTTCACAGATTGGTGTCACAAAGCAAACAGCACAGAGGTGCAGGGAGAAGGGCCGTTCTGACCTGAAAGTCAGGGCACCCAGCTCTTCTCGCAGCTCCTGTAGGTGCTTCTGTCACTCAGCAGCTCACTTCGTCTTCTCCTCTCTCAGTTCCCCATCTGTCAGAGCAGCACAGCACATTCAGGTGCCATAAGGAAATAACACATTCCTGGGGGCACCCCCTCTCCAGGCAGAGGCTGTGCTGTTGGTGCCTATTTTGGATTAGCAGAGCAGAGAGGCGATGCTCGGAGATGAATATGCAACGTTGCAGGAGTGATTTTACGTCCGTGCACCTACTGTAAGGCTGATGCTCCTGTACTGTCACTGCAGGGGGGTCATTAACAGTTCTGAGATGTGCTCAGGGTTTTCAGGTGAGCGGGGGCCCTTCCCAGCAATGCAAGGTATTGGGTTTCTCATGTGTGTGGTGATTAACTGATAGTACTAAGTGCTGAAGCCCACCATTTCCCATATGTGCAAGCGTGTGTGCGTGTGTAGCAAGGCCAGGCAAATGACTAATGCAAACCTGAAGAGAGACAGCAGAGCATATTGTAAAGATCAACCCTATTTCAGCTTATGTTCAAATCGGAAATGCCAGAGATTGTTTCATAGTCTTCTGCAATGTTCATTATAAAAGTCCCCAGATGGCAGATGGCTATTAGCTCACTGTGACCTATATAAATGTCAAACGTAAAGCTATTGCCCCAGCGAAAATCTCAAAATAAATAACAACAGGAGGGATGCTGTTCCGCTGCCACCAGGATTTATGGATTATGAATTCATGCTAATTCATCCCAAAGTCGGCAGAGGCATGAATGCTGTCCTTTTGGAAGGATTCACTTCACACCTGCTTGCAGATGAATGCGGGTCCTGCACGCCTGGTTCTGCACCGATGTCCTCTGCACTGCATCCCCCTATGGGTGGAAGCAGCACACCTTTGTCTGAGGCTCTCCTTTGTTTGCCAAAATCTTGTAGCTACATTTCAAACAGCAGTTCCGGATTGTTTTCTTTACCCTTGTTGATCACAGTCAGAAAAGGTGGATTTCCCCCCAAGTTCTCAGGAGGTGGTGGCTCATAAGGGCTAACCTGCACTCACTGGGGCTATCTGTGTGGAGCAGAGTGGAGGAAGGGGCTTTGTTTGCTCCATCCTGCTGTCATGGAGTCCTCACAGATCAGTAATTGCGATTTCTGTAGCGAAACTTTCCCAGCCCTTCTTCCTTCCATCAGAACAGTGCAGGATGGAACAGATGCACTTTGTAGAAAGCCCAGAGTATTAGTTGTTATACCTCCCCCTGGTCTCGTTTGCATCATCATCCATCTGTGGTAGCTGTGTCACCAGAGCTGATCCAGCCCAGGTCGTGCTGCAATTGAGGTGTGGGGCTGTGGGTGTAGAGCAGAGCCCCATGTTGACACCCCAGCATCTCGGCTGGATGGCAGCAGCACGTGCAGCCCACAGCTCCTCAGTGTGCTGGGGGCCTGTCTCTGCAGGGAGCCGTGAGGAGCAGCTAATTGCATGAGGCTGCAAACAGAAGCTCAGCACTATTAAAGCCCCATGTGGCTGCTCCGCTTCACAATAACACGTCTGCAGCTTGCTGCAGTTTCATCTAACCACGAGGCTTTGATGTACCCTTATTAACTTCATTCCTTGCCTCCATTTGTCTCAACTTTTCTCAATGTACCCAGTAGACGAGACCTTTGTAAGGAAAGGAATCGCATTCGTGAGCTTGAAGGAATTTATCCTAAATGGCCGTTTTAGGATGATGGGCTTTGCAGTCACCACTCAGTGTGTTCCTTTATATTTCAGTGGTTCTCAGATGGTATCAAGGACACACGGTGCTCAGAAATGAGCAAAACCAGAAGAAGATGGTGGAAAAAAGTAAGGAAATTGTGGAACTGGAAAGCTGTGTTCCCCTTAAGGAGCACTTCACAGAACAGGTAGTTGCTGTCAAAATGCTTTAAGCTTCACCAACACAAATTCCATGTTGTTGCTGGTTTCATAATACATTGCTCAGTGAAAACATAAACGAGCTGATTTGAGAAATATTTCATCCACATGAAAGACAGTTTGGTAAACAAAAACACAAGTGAATATTTTATTAATGCTTTTGATAAAGATGTGAACGCGGAGTGATATCGTGCAGTGAATGAATGAACTTATTAAAAAATTAAGAGGGAAGGAGGAATGTGGGTCAATTTTATCAACGCAGGAACAGCTTCAGTCACGTTTGTCTCACAGAGACGAGATTTCATTTTTGAACTGTTGCGATCATAAACATTCCCGAGGAGCACAAACTCACTTTCATTTCCTCTCACGCTGCTTCGTATTGGCTGAAAGCTCACAGCCCTCTGAAGCTGAGCATCCCTTTGTATTCACAAATGTCTCAGCTGGGGGTGCACTGCTGTCCTGCCAGCGCTGGGCAGTGAGATTTGTGCCATGCATGCAGTGTGTGCTGTGTCAGCACGGTGCTCGATGTACAACACAAGGAATGGTCCCATTTGCAACGCTGATCCATCCAGCCCAGGGCTGGGAGTAGCAGTGCATGCTCAGAGCTGTGCCTCCTCCTCCAGCACTGCATTCCACGTCATCCATCCCCACTGTGCCACAGCGTTACATCAACAGGCGACTGAAATCACACTTGAAAATTAATTTCCCACAGAGGTTTGGCCAACAGCTGACAGGTGACAGATTGCTCCGTTGGTTGTGCACGTATTGGTTCTGCCCTAACGTGAAATGGAGGTCTTGGAGCAATGTCTTTTTGGTTTTCTTTCCTTTTATTAAACCTGTAATTCCACCATGTCAAAAATTACAGCCATCGGTCGGTGCTGCACAGAATCCTCTGTGCTCATGGTGAGCCCACAGCTCCAGGACCAGCAGGATTATGTCCCACTCATTAACTGGGCAGGAAGATCTGATGAGCTCAGGGTTCAACCCGTGCATCTCTGCTGCTCCTGGGATGGAGCCTGGATGTCTGCATGGCATTGCACGGGGACACGCAGGCACCGCTGCTGAGAGCGAAGTTAGCTCTGAAAGAAAGGACAAAGAGATTCAGTTCCATCCTCTTCTTTCATCTAAAACAAAACAGGAGAAAAAAAAAAACAGTGTTAGAATGAAACAGGCTTATTAAATTGTGCTCCAACCTGACCCTGAGGGATTCACTCATTGCCCTGAGCTCTGTGCTGGGACTCAGAAGACAGCCCCACGGATGTGGCATTAGTGGGAGCAATGGCAGAGTGAGGGCTGTTGTTGTGCCAGGCCTGCAGAGAGAACAGACAGCTTGGCTGAGAGCAGATCTTTCTCAGAGGCCCAGCTCCAGCTGCCCATGGAAGCCAAGGAAGTCTGTGCGAGATGTCAGTATTTGAGGAATTGCCATTGCAGAGATGAGGGTGCCTGGTGAACACCAGCATCCCTTGTTCTGTGCGGCACAGCAGGGGGAGAGTTAACGTGACCTAGAAGCAGAAACGAAGGCTTTCCTTTTTCATTCTTTGGCATGCGTGTTTCTTGCTTCTCTGAGTATTTGCATGACCATAAATTCAGAGCTCTGGAGGATATTTTCAGCCAAAGACTACATGTGCAGGATACCATAATGTAAACTGCATATGTTGTGAGAAGTTGTTAAATGGAACCAGCAGATGATAATGTGCCCAGCATTGCTGCTAACATCACTCGATTTCCTCCCACCGTAGGTAAAACAAGCCCTTTTCCCAATCAATTCCAATCCTCAGACAGGCCCATAAATTAACATGAGGAAGAGAATGTTTTTGGCTACCAGACCTCCACTGGAGACCCAGGAGTTGGCCCCTGCTTTCAAGAGCAGCTCTGGTTCTGAGGAGATGCAGACAAATGGCCTTCGTCTGCCATTTCCCATCTCTGTGCTCTGCCTTGCAGGCAATGACACGTGTTGGAAAAATTCTGGCACAGCCCAGGACATCTGCCATCTTCCCAGCCTCTTTCCCACTCCTTTTCCAGAGTGGCTGATCCCCTTTCTGTGTGGGTTTTAGGGCTAATGGGAGCTGCAGCGTTTCCTCCTGGCTTGAGGACATGCAGCTGTTGAAATCACACAGGGAAAGCAGCAAAACTCCATCAGCTCCATCAGGAATCAGGGCTGGAGTGGACAGGACACTGACATTCTCCCTGGCAAAACATCTGGAAGTCCTATGGGGTTGTTTTTGTTCTTGTTTGGAAGTCTGAAATGTGGATCAGGCAAAGATTACTGTGAGATTTTCTTATGGAGCAGCAATGCAATATCGTAACGCTCTTGGTGATCTCAGCATTGCATTCTGTGCCTTTTGGTGTAGAAGGAGCAAAAGGTTCCTGCAAAGAGGGAAAGCCATCACCAGCAGCTGCTCCCCAAGCCAGTTGCAGTGCTGGAGCTTAGTCTGACAAATAACCAACAGATTTTCTCTCTGATGGTCCTCAACCCAACTACTGGTGCCTCTCAGATCCAAATTTTGGGGCAGTATTCACGTTGCCTGTCTACCTGGATGGAGCCCAATGCTCAGCAGTACGGTGTGGTGAAATGCACAGCTGGATGGGGGCTGAAAGCTGCCCAATCCTCAGCCCCACACCAGCAGATCTGTCTGCTTCAAAGGAGGTTGTATACCTTGCTAAATAACGTTCATACCCAGAAGTGTAACACTGAACAGGGACCAAACATACTGCGCAAGCATAGGGCTGGAGTTTGTGTATGACTTTAAGCTGTCAGGAAAGGATGGCCACGAGGGATGAGTGGTTCTGTGCTTGGGGATGTTCTTTTATTGCTCTGACATCCTTCCATGGAGCTTCTGGAATTGCTTTGCTGAGACATGTGAAGCAGGTTGCTGTCACAGGCAGGATGTGGGGCAGATGATGCATCCTGGAAATCCTGTCATTTCTCTATTTCGGAGAGCAGATATTTCTTTTTTTTTAAGTGTTTATAAGTGGAAATTACAAAAAAAAAAAAAAATAATAATAATAATAATAATAAAAATGCACTTTTGTTTGGAAGCTCAGCCGCTGGGAACCTCTTTACCCATTTGTCACTTGCCAAATTGAGAGTTTTTCCCTGCAAGATTCCAGGGCATTGCAAGCACCTCGGGCAGCACAGGCTGAGGGGGAAAGCTCTGCTCAAGGTGTCTGAGATGTCACAAACTGTTGCTGAGCAAACACAGAACCCTCAGCTCGAGCCAAGCAAAGTAACGCAGTCGCAGTGTCCAACTTCCCACGTGGTTCTGTGTGCTCCCTTTGCCTTCATGTTCACTTTGTTTCATTTCCTCTGCCATTTTTTGGCTTTAAAACTTCACACATATTATTTTGGTGCCATTTGTCACAAAGGCCTCTGAATTCCTTTTCTATTGGGTCAAACGTTGTCTGGGGAGCTGAAGGAGATTCCAGCCCCGATCACTGCAGGACAACTGCATCAGATCACTGCTGCTGGGGATGCTCTCCATAGAATCATACAATCATGCTCCTGCTCTTGCTGTGGTTTGTGTCTGTGCACTCACAAGAGAGGAACACAGTCCTGGAGCTGCATGGAAAAAAGGCCTTGTAACTCATAGCAATGTCTCTACAGCCCTGTAGAGCTAACCAAAGGAAACTTAAAGCAAAACCAAACCACAGCAACAAAAAAAAGCATTTTTGTGTATACGTTCTGCAACATGGTAGCACCTTTTGCAGGAAGGTAGAAAAACGGCTCTTACTCTAAGGAAAAGATTAATTAGGAAGCTTTTTCTGCTGTCCTGCAGATTTCCCCATAAGGGCAGGCGCTGAGCATCCTGATGAGCCACAAGCAATGCTCTATCCCTCTAAAACTGAAATCATGACTTGGTAAAGGTTGGGAGGTGGAATTCTTAGAATTACAGCCTGGTTTCGATGCTGCCCTTGCCCTGGAGAAGTCAAATGTGGGTTTCTGGGATGGCAGACAGCAGGGCTCATGTGGGAAGCCCTCCTCTTCCCTCCTTCCCCTGGAGGAGCCCTTTTCATTCCCCTCTGCCAGGTCCTTGTGATTGAAATTTGAAAGCATGTAGCTGTTAATCTGGGAGTGATTAAAGAGCCTCATTTCTTGGAAGAGTCAGTACTCATCATCTGCCGTGCTGAATGAGCCTCTAACATCCCCTGATCCCATTATATTGTGATTAATTGTGCCAGTTTAAGTCAATAATTCATTTGTTAAAAATAGGCCTGCAAAGTATCATTTGTCTCTGGGGAGATATCAGAATAAAGAAAAAAAAAAATCATTTGATACTTCTCATTAAATTAGTGTTGGGAGTTCTATTGAAGGGTTCTGTTCATGAAACATTTATTGCAGGCTTATTTGATAAGAAGTTGTATTTGTCTAAAATTATGTCTGCTAACAGATGTAGCGGCCTGCATTTCCCCATTGTTAATGAAAGGATAAAGAGTCTAAAGAAGTGCGTGGCGGGGAGAGTTGTCTGTGGTGACAATAAGGGAGATTTCTGAACATGTGTTCCTCCAAACAGGCAGAAATAATGTCCTCATCTTTCACTACAAAGCGGGGTCCTCTTCTCCCCGCTCCCTCTTCAGCGTGACAGCGCGGTAATGGGAGGTTGTGTGCCTGCAATGAAAGATGGATGTGCCCCAAAGTCTCATATGTGTAAATGGTTATAAATGTTGCATTCATATTCATCGAGCCATTAAAAATGTTTCAGCTGTAAACGGTTCTAAAAGGAATATATAGGGAATAGTAGCTAGCCTGCTAATGATAATGGCCATAACTGACAGAGATGCATGCTTAATATCTTCATCTCTCCAGTCAGTCACACTCCGTGCCACACTGTGCTGCTGGAGATGTGCAGGATGATGCTCAGGTTTTGGGCTCAGAACATCTGTGCTGGGGGCAGCCCAGGTGGAGGAGGGGGCTGTGCTGTCCTTGGATGTGGGGCTGGTGACTGAAGCCTGGGCCGTCACCCCTTTCTATCTAAGGGCTGTCCAGTGGCATGGATGATGCCAAAGGTGGTTGCAGTCATTCTGCACTATCCAACCTTGCTTGGAACCAGTGAGGCAGCACAGGGCTCTCCGTGCTCAGTGGGTCCAAGCAGGGAGCACTGAAGAAAGCAAGGAAGCATTGCTCTGCTTAAGGAAATACGCACATTGGACTCAAGCTTGTTTTGGAAACCCAATCAAGTCCAACGTCAAGGTTTGTTCCAAAGTATATACCAAAAATAACCCAAACCCCTACAAACCACAAAGCTCTTTGCAAAACAAGGCTCTGCACTTTTTGCATGCGTCTTTGAGACATTTTATAGCTCTTGCATCAGGTTACCTGGTGATCTGCCCATCAGCCATGCCGCACAGCGTACAATCCTTCCATTGTTTGAAAGCCTTCTTGTTTGACAGCAAATTCTATTAATGTGATGTGCTTGGCCAAAAATGTGTCACTGCTGCAGAGGGGAGAGCGAAAAGCGCCTTTGAAGTCTGAGTGACAAGTTTCATATGTCTGCGTGGGGCAGAGGGAACGTGAGCTGGAGCAACAGTCCTCGGGGAGGAGGGGGACGGGGATGAGGATGGTCCAACAGCTGTGGCTGTGGGCTCTGCTGGGGGTTCTTGTTTGCAGAGGCTACACAGTGATTTTGGCAGAGGGATGGGTATCTGTGCAGCCCTATTTCTAATGAAACTTGGTGCCCACAGAGGAGCAGGGTGCATCTTGTTTATACCCAGCAGCGTATTTGGCTCAATGAAGTCAATGAAGCTCGATGGAGGACAATTTCTGTTCAGTGAAGCTGTGAGTCTGTATAAACAGTGCAGGTTGTGTGTGTCCCACTGACAGCCGGCTCATGGAAGGCAGGGATGTGCTGTCACTTTCTCACACTTCAGCAATGTTCTGTGTAGCTTCTCCTGTCAATACAAATCTGATTTGAATTGGCCTGAATTGACAGAAACCCATTGACTTGAACAGGAGATGGATCCAGTCAATAAGCTCTCATGCCTCGCAGCATGAGGCAGTCGCTAACTCAGGGTGGGCCAGAAGGAAATATCCCTGATGTGTTGATTATTCCATAAAATTGTCCACTAGGAGGATTTATGGACTTTTAGTTGCTCACAAATACAACGCACAGCGCTGCAGGGACCATTAACCTGTTCTAACCCAACAGCTCCAGGGTTCTGCAGCTCCGAGTCTCCTCACAAAGAGCGCGGTGGAAATATTGAGCACTGTAGTGGTTAAAGCACAGAAAGGAGAAGAGTTTATTGCTGAATCTTAATCCGTTCAGTAAAGCCTGAGATGTGCCCTCTGCGATCCCTGTCCTCGCAGGATCCTCCAGCTGGCTCCACCAGCAGCATTCCTAAAGTTCTCCTCAATCTGTTCAGCATGTAGGTGATCGGTGAGGTCCCTCCCATCCCAAACCATTCTGTCACTGGGGGAAAAAGGGGGAGTAGCCTCCTCCATTCCCTGGGCCATGGGCAGCTCATGCAGAGGTCAGCAGCTGTCGGCACGGCCCCTTTAAGCCATCCCTGTCCCTCCGTTCCCAGCGCTGTGAGGCTGCCTGTCAGTGGGGAGCATAAAACAGATTGTGACACAGGGCAGTGATTTTTTTAACAATCCTATTATGAAAGACAGAGTGCTCCCATTTCCTTTGCAGCTTTTATCAAGACTTAAATTGCTGCCAAGGGAGGGAAAAGAAAAAGAAAAAAAAAAAAAAAAAAAAAAAAAAAAAACAACCTTCACTGCTTTTATTTTTAATTTTTTATTTTTTTTTTTTAAGAAAAGATTTTGCTTAGTTACTAAATTCCTCCCTAAGTCTCCTCCAAGCAGAGATCCAACAGTATCCCTATTAAATTATATAGAGCGAGTCCAGTCCTTGGCTGTCAGCGGGACCCATCAGTCCTAATTTATCGCCCCAGGAAACACAGTACAATTATGGTAATAAATAATAATAGGATTCAGTACATGACAACATGAATGATGGAGCCTCTCAGAACTCATTTACATTGCTTTGTGTTGCAATCACCCTGCTTCTAATGTAATGCCAAGCAAATGAGCCTTTTTGAATATTGTGCAATCTATTGCAAGTCAACTGGCACAAAACTCACTCAATAAATCATGTTCAAACACATGCCTCTAATGACAGGTAAATCAACAATGAAGTAATTGCATTTAATGTATTGAAATACTGGACAAAAACAGTGACCTCAAAGTGACTTTTTGCAGAAGGTTTGATATAGTTGCAATGGCAAATGGGTCTTTTTTATCGGGCACTTCTTGCTCAGATGCACACGTGGGAACCGACGATGCTGTTCCATCACACAGCCGTATTTACAGCCCTCCTCCTCCCGGCTGCATTGCTGGGCTCGCTCGTGGGCCCACGTAACTCCTAGCTGAGGATGGATGTGGTTAACAACCAGTGAGGCCCTGCAGAGCGGTGTGACTCCATCAGAGCCATCAGCTCTGCCCATCCGCTGCGCTGGGGTTCGGCTCTGTCGCTTTCAATTGACTTTGTTCTGAGTTTCCCTGATCTCCGTGTTTCATTTGTTGCAATAGAAGAGGGAAAAGAAGGGCTGGGCTGCAAAGCAGAGGCTTCAGTAGCACCTCCTGTCAGAACCTCCTCCTGTCAGCCCTTCCTGTGCTTTCTTATAGGTTATTTCTGGGTGCTTGGACAGCCAGGCAGTGCGCTCCTCCAAGTTCTGCTTAACCAGAAGCTGTGTGTTTGGTGGCACAGCCAGCATTGGAATTACATTTCTGATTGCTCA